TGATCTGATTTGCCGAAGGTCAAACATGGTCCAAAATGTTCCCACTATGCCTTCTGATGATACTGCCTAAAGGAAGCATGTATAATGTAAACAGAATTGGTCCTAACACAGAACTCTCTGTGGAGGTGATATTGATAATGGAATCGAAGTGTGCAGAGATGCCCCTGACACAATCCAGCACATAACAGCAGGGTACAAGATGCAACAGAGGCATCAGGATCACACTGGAAGATCGGCAGGAAGGGAGTAAGTCGGAGACCAGTGGCCACCAACTTGCAGTCTCCTATCTTTTTTAGATTGCACCTTCTGCATAAGACATAGTCCTCCAATGTGCACCATTTGGCAAAAGGAAACAAATTGGAAAACAAAGTGGTGCCAAAAAACAAAACCCCACATGCACCACCACCCAACCTCCAGCATTAGTCATTTTCAGTGGCTAGCACAACTGTCGCCACTAGGTGGTGTAGGCTACTTGGATGGTAATCACTATGTTGTTGTCTCCCCTCTCAGGACTTTGACTGGACCCATTCATCCACTTCCTAATATAGAATCATGATTAACAAACTGCTGTTGTAGTCCTCCATTTCTTAAGCATTTCAATTTAGAAACAGGAAATGAAAACTTGACTCTGACCTCAAATCCTTTAGATTTATTTCTAAAAGAAGTTGTAAGATGTAAGATGATTGTAAGATGATCCCATGTCTTGGAATAACTACCCAGAGAGCTCACCTGAAAAAAAAGCCACAGTTATATTTATGATTATTAACATCTGTGAGTTCAAAACAGTTGAAATATAAAAACTATAATAACTATAAGTATTTGTGAGTAAAACTAAAACTGTAAAAATCAAAATCTTAAGATCAGGAAATAAGATCCCCACATGTCAGTGAAGTAAAAGAAAAACAATTAAATAAAAGTTTGAGTGAAATGAAACCAGCTTTTGAACAGCTAAGATAAATCATGCAAACTAGTTTTTATCTTGTCAGAAAGAACATATAGACATGCACTGACTATCACACTGCATAATGTAGTCAGTTTTGTTCTTTCTCCTTTTATCCTGCAAAAGAGGAAGTCAGTCATTACTGTTTAAAATTATTTGCCACCCTCAATGTTCTAACTTGACTCAATCAAAAGCCTCAAATGCTCAACCTTACAGAACATACATAACAATATGAACTACAGTGTGCTAGGACTTGTTAGTATGTTATTGACCTCTGTCCCAGCTACTGTGCTGACGTTAAGATGCTGTTCTGCTTGTAAAATGTAGCAACTTTCTACAAACCCAGTTCAGAAAAAGTTGACACTGTGTGAAATTGAAATTAAAAATACTGACGGCCGCCAGTGCTTCACTTCATTCTCATAATAAATACACATAGGGTATCATTTTCAAAAACCCCACATTACCTTATTCTCGATTTATTACACTCACAAGATTTTTAGAAAACGTGACATCTCTTTACTTTACCTTGGTTACCAGGATTCGTGCTCATCTGAGATTTTTAGCAGATGCACCTATGGTACGAATTTGAAATCCTGTCAGCCTTTTATGGCTCAGGGGTAAAAACAGAATCCAAAGATTTGAAGTCTCAAACGTTTCCAAATATGCAGGGCTTTGGACTAAATAATGAAAACAAGCCAGATGCAGCATCTGTGTTTTCCAAAATAATTTTTCTGACTTCCACTTTTCCTCAGTCCATTTTAAATAAACTTTTGTTAGGACTAAAACGATTAAATAAAGCTGTTTTTATGATTTTATATAAACATTGCATGTGCTCATTAAAGTGTTGGCACTCTGTGTTTTTGAGAGTCGGATGCTTCATTCAACAAGGTTGTCTTTATGAGTTTTATTTGCCTTTGCAAAGAAGTCAAATGACAGTACAGAGAACATGACGGCACTTTATGTTTTTACAAAGAGCTACAGTAATACTAGAATATATACAGAATCAAAGTATCTACCTGCCAAAGATTACATGATGACAGAAAGAGACAATATGAAGCCTTTCATTCAGTAAAGTCAGCTTGACACACAAGCAGAAGAATCTTATAATACATCTTATGGAGAAATGATGAACATAGACTCTCTTGCATATTTATATCAGGGAGTTATTTTCTCAAGGTGCATAACATAGGAAGGAGAATATTTAAATCAAGTACACAAACGATTCAAACATTTTTATGGTTTACAATTTCCTGCTAATTGTTACGACATAGCTATGCTGTAAATTTCCCACTGAAGCAAAAATCCCCAGTTAATATTTAAACTTGCGCTAAGTTACCTGGCTCTTGGCAAACTGGACATTTCATATTGAAATGAATTGACGGTGCTTGTGAAACTAACCACACCTATCCTATCAGCACCATTTGGAGATCGCGCCCACACAATATTTTGGTCAGATATAATGCAGAAACTACAGTATTATACCGGTAACACAACTTCGGCTCTTTGCAAGTACCTGCACAGACAGTAGGCTAACACGAAGTTAGCCAAGAATCCAGAGTCATGTTAAAGCTGAGTAAATGCTGAACCTTGCCCAGCACCGTGATAAAGGGGGGTGGGGCGTGGGGTGGGGGACGTCCTTTTCAGTGAAGCTACCCACTTTTTGAACATTTGAACCTGGGTGTACTTAAGCAATATACTGCATTACCTTTAAGAAAAGTTCTGTGTAATGTGTAATAACTTTTCTACTTTTTTGAGTATTGATCCCAACACTGATCACAACAAATGAATCAATTCCCATCCTTAGGGAAGGCAGCAGTGGTTTGAGGAGAGATAATTCTGTAATAACATCCCTATAGTCAAAGTAAAATGGTCATACACAGCTGTTGAACATCAAACTATAAACAAATATGTTACATTTTAATGGTTTAGCAGGTAGCATTTATCATCCTGCAGTCACTTTAGTTGATGTGTTGTGATGTTACTCTGCTCATCTGACAGCTCTATGTCTGTTTGTTGGAGCATCTTGATTTGAACCAGCTGAAGGATAAAAACAAATGAGAAACAATTAATCCTTTTTGTTTTATTAGAGACGAGTCGTTTCAAATGAGTTTGTCATAGAAACATTTGTCTCACCACTCAAAGATGCTCAGTGTGGTCAAAAGCATTATGATTCCCACAGTCTTCATTATAGTGTAGACACCAACCAGGTTTCCAGCTGTAATGAAAAAAAGAGTGATGAAAAATAGCGGCAGAATAAATGTTAAAGAGTAACTGAGGTCTGTTAAAGTGAATCAAAGTCAAGAAAACTTTAATTTATGAAACAAACAGTGCAAACAACTGCTGAAGAAGCATTGTTTTGTTTTTAAAATTACACGGCTGAAAAACAACATGTTGAAAGATGAAGCACAATCTATAAACAAAAAACCATACCGACGCTCACATAAGGCACACTTCTTTTTGTCTCTTGTATATTTATAACACAAAAAAGTTTGAAAGAAGGAAAAGAAATTATATTAACACTTTGAAATTGGATTCATTAAAGAAAAATAAAATAAAAATCTGTGACTGACTTTACCTTCACAGTAAGTAAGAGTTGAGAGAGCAATGTCTGCTGATGTCTGATTACCCAGATCATTAGTAGCCACACAGTAATAAACTCCTCCATCTGTTACATTGAAGCTGTAAATCTCTCCTTCAGATACTTTCACAGCTCCATCTCTGCTCTTCTTGAACCAGGTGAAGCTGCTGACTGGAGGTTTGGCTCTGCTGGAGCAGGTCAGCTTCACCCAGCTGCCTGCTGACACCAAACCTGATGGACTGATGGATGCTGAGGTGTTTTTGGAAGCATCTGGAGAAAAAGAAATATCCATAGATCAAACTCTGACTGACACACAAAGATGATCAGTGTGCTCACAAGAATTGTGATTCCCACAGTCTTCACTACAGTGTAGACACCAACCAGTTCTATAATGCAAGAAGATTTCAGAGAAAAGAAATCTGCATGAAATGACAGAATAAATGTTTAACAGTAAATTGTCTGCTGACTGTGTGGAGAGAGGAGGAGACACGCAAAATGAAAACGTGATTGGCTGATTAAAGAACCAAAAACCAAAGGCAAAGCCAATTCAATGATAAACAAAAACCTAAACTGGGAAGACTAGAAAGAAAACATTAAATATCTTAAACGTGAAAACTTGGCATGGATACATTAATAACTAGAAACATGACAACAACATAACAGATGACCGGGGACAAGGAATGAATGACAGCAGACCACATGAATACACACAAGGGTGATGAGGGAAAAGAGAACACATGGGGAACACAGCTGGGATGAATGAACATAACGACAAGACAGGAGGAAGTAAACTGAACACACAGAACATGGGATGTAAGCCCGTCAACATAAAACAGGAAACACGCAGACTAAGACAAACAGGCTTAACATGACGAACCAACGAGGAAAACGTATACTATAAACCCAGACATAGGGAAATGGAAACTGGAGATGAGACATGGACATAACTAAGCAACAAACAGGACTTGATGGCTAGGGAGAACACATGACAGATGGAAATGAACACAAGGGGAAACATGTAAACAGAGGGAAGAGAGAGAGGAAGAGACGGGGACACGAAGGAAAACAAGGACATCACTGAGACACATAAAGGACAAAAGGGACTTAAACACGGGGGACATGACAAACTTGCACACTGAAGAAATGATACTAACCAACATAGTGGGAGAGACACTGACATGGGAGGAAACAGGGAAACTGAAACTGAAACTAAATTGTAAATTATACAAAATGGAACATAATAATACAAAAAGGGCAGGCAACTCAAATTGTTTTTAATGTTTAAAGGCTGAACAACCACACAGTGATGGATGAAGCTGATTTTTATAAAGTGAAATTCACTCTCTTATCAATTGTGAAGTATATCACAAAGAAAACTTGAAAAAATGAAAATGCATTTTTTTTGAGAATAACTGGTGAGTAACTTTACCTGCAACAGTCACATGAATCTCTGCTGATGTCTGATTACCCAGATCATTAGTGGCCACACAGTAATAAACTCCTCCATCTGTTACATTGAAGCTGTAAATCTCTCCTTCAGATACTCTCACAGCTCCATCTCTGCTCTTCTTGAACCAGGTGAAGCTGCTGAGAGGTTTGGCTCTGCTGGAGCAGGTCAGCTTCACCCAGCTGCCTGCTGACACCAAACCTGATGGACTGATGGATGCTGAGGTGTCTTTAGGAGCATCTGGAGAAATAAATTATATCCTATAAATCATGATATGTCTGCAGGATCCAACAACAAACTCTGATTGTCTTACATGAAACACTGAGAGCCTCTTCTGTCTCTGCTGTCTTGGTGTCTTTTCCTTGGTTCACAGGATATCTGGCAGAGCAGCTGATCTTCTTTCCATCATGTGTGTCTGACAGAGTGATGTTCTGCTGGATTTTAGTTGTAAAGCTTCCATCTGTGTTTTCCTCTATTTTGTTGTGAGAGTCTTGTTGGAGATTCCAGGTGAGTTGAGGAGGGGAGTGTGGACAGGGAGTGAGAGCTGAGCAGGTTATAGTGACAGACTCCTTCTCCTTCAGATCACCTGGGATTGTAATATTGGGCCTCCAAGGAGAATCTGTGGTTTCACAACACAAACATCAATACTACAGAGCACACTTCAGCTTTTAAAATCTTTAAAACTTGTCCTGTGAAATTTTATTCTTAAATTCAGACGTTTAGAAATGTCATCAAGTCCTCAGAATAATAACAGTGCATAGACTGAAATAAGAAATTATAAACATCCTCTTAGTGTCAGGCTGTTAGGACAATTTTTCAGGTTATAAAATCTAAAACTTTTTTTTTTTTTTTAACTCTGACTGTTATTTGAAGTGGGTTACAGTCTGCTGTCGCCTTGAATCTTTCACTCTCTACTCTGAAGAAGTATGTGTCTGTGTATGTGGTGGTTAAATTAGAAAACAGAGTTGTGCAGTCTCTCTGACTCAGGTTCCCAGTAATACTCCTTGGATAACCTGCACCATTACTGTTGTAGATGACGTTGGTTGGATTTCTGGCATCATTTTTAATCCACACTCCAAAGGTTTTTCCTGTGCTGATAAATGTCTGTGCTTCTTTGGGTTTGAAGCTACATGGGATTTGCAAACAAGATCCACTCAGTGCTTCCATCGTCTTTGGTGCAGTTATGGAGAGTGCTGTTTTATCAGAACAACCAGCCAAAGCACCTATAAATAAAATTTAATGATTAACCTGTTCAGACATTAATATTATGCAATTAATTACATTATTTTTCATTCTCACATTTCTGAGCAAATTTTTCTCTTTTTTAATTTTTTTAAATTTAGAATTTAAAAAAAATCAAAAATATAATTTTTTTAATAGAGAAAATAAAACACAACATATATATATATATAAAACAATTCAAAAATATGAGATACATAATTTCAGAGGTTCTTACGGATTCAGGATGCCTTGGCAAAATGTAATGTTTCCATTTGTCACAAATCTCAACAAATGTATCAACCTGTTAGAAAAAATAATTTTTTCCATTTTGAACAACCTCATGCCAGTCATTTAGTGATGGGATTTTTTCCACTTAGCCATCTCTTAGTGATAGTCTTACGGGCAGCCAAGCTCAAAGTGCCATATAACAGCTTGGTCACTTTATCCACGTTTACTGAGTATAAACATCCAAACAAGAGTTCATTCCAGTTAAAAATAATCTGTAACTAAGAGTGTATCGAAACCCAAAAATTGTTTTTCAGTGGGCAGGACCAAAACAAATGGAGGCGCTTTCTGAGCAAATTATTCTCTTTTTTAAAATTAGTGAGATAACAACAAACTTTTTTATTCCTCTGTCGTTAACATTTTGTACATAAAACATTTTAATCTAAAGTCAGGATATAAAGAGTTTGAAAAAGTAATGCTATGCTTGCTTGGTATCTAAATAATGTTCACTTTGTAAAATAACTTCAGTGTTTTTGAATGACTGAACAAACAGCTCACCTGAAACAAACAGGACAGTCAGTAGCATGCCAACCGTCATCATGTTCACAGAGCTCTATTGCCTGAATATCTAACGAGAAAAAAAATGAAACACCGTTAATGATTATTATCTATGGTGCTGTAACATTATACTTATTTTGTATTTTAAGATTCACGGTAAACTTTTATCTGCACATTTTCTTCTGTTATAAACATTTAAAATATAAAGTTGTAGTGACACAAAGCTGTTTATTTAAAACTGGAACATCAGTAAAAAAAAGTTATATATTCACTTGTCAGCACATCAAAAAAAGGAAAAAAAAGTTATAGCACAGAAAATTATTAAATAAAATCAATAAAATGTTACCAAAGAAGCCCAAGTGTATTCCTATCATTTTACAGTTTTTGCAAAATTACAGTGAACCGTGTCAGCCAATGTTGAAGAAAAGGAAGTACAGAAAGATGCTGTTTAAGAAAGTGCATTAAAATCAGTTTGTCACAAAGCTGCTAGGTGTCACATGATGCCCTAAAAACTGTTTAGAAATATTATTTCTAAACAGTTCTAAACATATTATTTATTTTATGCATCAGTTCATTGATTACAATAGAAAGTTACTCAAATTACTTTTACAGTGTGTAAACCAGGGTGGTCAAAATGTTGAAATATAATCAGAATAAGTGCATCCTTAAGTAAAAACAACTGACTGCTCTTTTGTATCCGAGTGTTTACTCTTGGGATGCTCGTAATTTGATTCACAATTTTAAACAGTACATATAATTGTTTATATGTTTTTATGGTCAAACAATTCAGTAAACTACAGAACACATACATTCATACAATCTGCTTAAAACAGGCTGTGAATAGAAAAAAACAAGCTGTGAAACAGTGGCACACCGAGCTGATTTGAAGCTAAAACTCCAAACATAAACTGTTTTTATTCTTTCAGCTCTGTGCTGTTTAAGGGTTTGAGAGTAGAGTATAAATATCCAAGCAAAATTCAAACATAGGCTTAGTCTATGTTCCAATTTCATCAACAAGTATAGTCCTGTTTTAGGATGATATTTTAATGCTTATAGAACAATAAAAATTTAAAATTGTTCATTGCCAATTGAAAGAAAAAAACCCTCATAGAATAAAGCTATGTCTTAGAATTTATTACTGATGGTCAATAGAAAAACACACAGAATTTATACACAACTGAAAGAATTTTACCCCATTTTACACCCTCTTAATTCCCCCCACAGACACCTGAGGAATCTTCTAGAAATGTGTTTTCAGTATTGTGATATACGCCACTAAGAAGTGAACGATATTGCAGTACAAGAAAACCCAGGTTTTACCCTGAAGTTACCTGGGCAAGGCAAAATCCTGCTTTTTAGTATAGGCCTCTCATGTTATTCTACCTTAAAAGATAAATAAGCAAATCTTTCGGACTTCAAAATCTCATGGAAGCACTAATTACTTGGGAGCTGGAAGCACTGAAGTGAATTTGTAATGTGTTCTGGTTTCCCCTTGCACCACCATAAAAACAGTGGTGGAAACAGACTACCCAAGGAAGAGAGAAAGGAGTAAGGATGTTTTCTGTTAGAGAAGCACATTAACAGAAGATGCACAAGAAAACACAAGCTGAATGCAGTCTACATAGCATGTCAATGTTTCCTTGGGCAAGATACTGAAGGCTGAGTTGCTTCTGCATGCATGCATGCATATATATGTCTGTGTGTGTAAATGCTGAATAGAAAGCACTTAAAAATAGAAAAAAAGCTTGTGTGAAGGGGTGAATGAGCTGTGTTGTAAAAAGCACTTAGTGCTCAAATAGGGTAGAAAAGTTCTATAGAAGAAAAATATTTCTTCTGTTATTTTAAAGCGAACTATGAGAATTATGATATGCAGCATCACACTGGCTTAGGGATATGGTAGGAGCTTCATGTAAGTTACATCTACATAGACAGGACTGGCAAAAAGTTTAAAAATAACTTACCTTTTAGCTTCTTTATCAGTTCCTCAACACAAGTATTAAAATTAAATTTTTGTGTAACCACATTTGCGCTCTTTCATCAACATATGGTTAATTGTGACTCCAGAAGACAAACAATGAGCAGAACACTCACGCAGAGAGCTAAAATTTTGCTTGGAGGACTCAACCAACTTCCTCCCTGACCAACTTCCCCAAAATACAAAGTCTCATTGTCACAAGCGCATACATTTACATGTATATTTTAGCACATCAGCACTGGCTGCATCAGCACTTAAAATAATCACAAAGTGTGACAAAGGCCTCAGTAGCAACATATTTTGGTTGTTGAGGAGCACCACCAGGCGTGTGATTTTTTGATGTGAGTATAGTTATTAAAGACAGCACTTATTTTGTATCTGAGCTCAATAAATGATATTTCATTTTTAATGAAGCAACAAGTCAAAATTTTGATTGTATGCTATTAATTAATAGGATAGACTGGAAATAAGCTATTTCTGTTAAATCTCACCTTCTACTTCTGC